CCCTCGGCCGCCTCCGGCACACCTGCGCCCCCTCCCCATGACCGTCTCCAGGGCTGCTGTGACGCCGGGTGGGGGTGGGGGGTGTGATAAGGGTGGCCCTGGGTTCAGGGGCCCCACCGACAACGGGACCGGCCCCCCGGCCCCCTCGGGCCCCGGCGTCACGCTCAGGAACCCCCAGAGCGAGCTGAGCCCGAGGGCAGGCGAGCTGGCTCCCGGCTGGGGGCTGCGCCCCGAGAAGGCACAGGGTCGGGCCACGCTCGGCCTGAGTGACCCGTCGCACCCCTCGCCCGGGGCCTGTGCGGGCTCAGGCCGCAGAGCCTCAGAATCCCGAGGGCAGGCGAGCTGGACCCGGCCCCTGCGCAGCCTGGACTCAGCCGCCCACCGAGGACCACCGGAGAGGCTCACGGGTGCGGCCCCACTGTCTGCAGCAGGGGCCCGGAGGCGGAGCAGGACTGGCCCTCAGTCCCCGCCAGGCGGCCCATCCCTGGGGTGGGGGGCGCCCCCCTGGGCCCTGTGCCTCCCCAGCTCAGCTCCCAGGACGCGCCTGGGCCTGGGCCCCTGTGAATCGGATTCATCCTGAGATCCTGGAACTTAGCGTCTGCAAAGACCCTTTTGCCAAGCAAACAAGGGCTCACAGGTGGACGCACCTTGGGGGCCACCAGCAGCCTCCCTCGCTGAGGGGTCCCACAAAACCCCTGCCTGGGAGGCATTGCGAGGCTCGGGCCCCTCTGGCTCCCCTGCTCGCTCTTGGGAGTTGCGCCCCGAGCAGGTCCCCTGCACTCCCGGGACTCCCGGGGCCTCACACACTCTCACTGCCCAGTCCCCTCACTCAGCCTGGCCAGTGTCCAGTGGGGTGGGGCCAGCCTGACACAGCAGCTGGGGTCCCCTGGGTTGGGGGGTGCCGCCGGGCCTGATCTGGAGGCTTCTAGGCCTGGAGGCTCAGAGAGACTGAGGCTGGTGGGGCCTGGACTGGGCCCTCGGCAGCCTGTCCACTCGGCATGCCCGGTGGACCCTGCGGGGGGCTGGGCTGCCCCACCAGAACATCAGGTGGTGAGGGGCTCCCCGGCAGGTGGGGCTGGAGGGCAGCGGGTGGGGCTCAGCCAGGGCACCAGAGGCTTGAGGCCCCTAGGCTGGGTCACTGGACTGGCTCTGGTCAGGTCAGGTCAGGTCAGG